ATTATTCAGATGGGTCAGTATGGAATATCATTATCTAAGGAACATGGTATGCATTAGCATTTACCAAAGTCTGTTACTGGGAAGCATGTGGCTGCTGCTGTTATTATTGCTACTGTTGTTACTTATTACTATTAGCTTAAAAGCAACCAGCACTGAAGGGTGGGGCGGGAGTGTGGGGGAAGATTTGTCTTTGTAAATATAAGAGCTATAAGATACAGCACTCTCAATATTAACAATTACAGGGAAAATAAAGAAAGGTCAGAAAAGGTCTTTCTTGATATTTTTTTCCCCACATATGAGCATCTGAATAGCAGAAGACATATTCTACATTTGTAACACCCCAGAAAGTATTACAAGCTGGCAAGGAAACCATTAAACTACTGAAAAGGAAGTTATGTTCAAATTTGTGCCTTGCCAGAGCACTGATAACACACAGCTCTAAGTATCTCTTCAGACTAAAGACAAGTCAAGAAACATGCTCACCCCCAGAATACTGCAGTGAAGTGCACATTTTAAATAAGGCACCGTAATCATAAGGATTCTTCACCTGCTTGAATGGTATGCTTTCATTCATGATATTCTCCTACAAATTAGTTTTTTCAGCATGTTCACTGTAATGTACAGTATTCTGAGGTAAAATTATTTTAAAATAGCGGTATCTGGATTAAAATTTCATACAGGTGTTTACCAACACTGCTTTGTATCCCTCAAATTTCACATTTTCTTACCATTTAGGGCAACATGTTTGTAATATGAGATGATCTGAATATGTTAAAAAAGAAGGTACCGTTACCAAAAAAAAATGTGTTTTTATAGTTTCTACTAAAAACGTAAGTGGGATAAACGAAGTGGAATTTTTTGTGCAATACATATATATTGCCTACTTTAGCTATATAAAAATCAATAAAAGTGTACGTTTTGGTATCTCAGGCTCAGTGCAGACATTTCACATAAACTGGTATAAGTGATCAGAACCTAGTCTAAACCTGTAACAGAGCAGGAGTTCAGACTGGCTTTAAAATGGTAGAACCTATTCTAGGATGACCTAGATGGATGTAGTATTAGACTTAATTGGTTTAGGTTAAAGCAGTATATAACACTTATGTGCCCGATCCTGTAGCAAATCACCTTAGTTCACTGTCTTCTGGTATCCCAGGTGTCCAAGGCAGTGTGTTGTCTTGGGTAGTGCTTGTCTGCACTGGGAGAGAGCTGGGCCAGCCCTGCCCCTAGCCTGTCACAGACAAGAGCAAGAAAAGCAGGAGACAGAGCCTCATGCCTGTCTGCCAAGCCAGGTCTGCATGGAAGGGGTTCTCCTCCCCAGCCCCAGTTCCTGGTGCCACAGGCAAATGCACAGCTCAGAGTGGCTCCTGGCTGCAGCCACCAGGAAGGTTGAGTTGGATGAGGGAGAGGTAGAAGAACAGAGCCCCACCCCACCCAGCACCGAAGCAGCACAGTTGTGGGTGCCCCGCATGGCAGGGGGCTCTGCTCCCCCACCCATCGGTGATTCGTAGGGCGTGCACGCAGATGCACATGCACCCCCTGTGATTGGCCCCTGCTGCTGGCAGCACTTGTGAATGATTTCCACTCACCACCCCGCCCTTTGCTTCCGACACTGCTGGCAGCATGGCCACCACCGCTGCTCCTGGTGGCATCTGTGGGTGGTTGCTAACCACTAGCTGGTGCTTGCCACCCCCCCACACCTCCGATACTGCTGCAGCTGCCTGCAGGAATTTGCTGCCACCATGCCTCCAATCACTGACACCGCCACCACTTCCTGGGGGCACGTGTTGTTCGTGCCCACCCAACCTGCCTAATAACTATGTGGCTCTAAGCCATGGCTCCTAGGTGCAGCTGTCTGCAGGGCTGGAAACCAGGGGTGTGGGGGGGAGTAGTAGAACCCCCTGCCATGTGCTCCCCCTGAGCCATGCCGGTTTGGGGCTGGGCTTATGAGGTGAGGGGCTCCATTTCCCACCAATCCCACCCTTGCACAGGCACTATTAACAGCCGCAGCCAGGAGCAGCAGCTTGGAGCTGTGAACCTGTCCACTATACCATGATCCACCTCATCCTTGAGCCAGCAAGCTGGGGGCCCCACATGGCAGAAGCTCAGCTCTCCCCTTCTTACCCCCGGTTCTTGGCATAGTAGACAGCCATGCAGCCTTGGCCCTGGCTCCAAGATTGGAACCAGCATAGCTGGAGGGGCCCACACCATGGGGTGCTCCATTCCTTCCCCTCTAGCCACTTCTGACCTCCAATAGTTGGTGGGGCATGGTGGGGCTGGGGCTATGCTGGTCAATCAGGGCTGTTTGTTTGCTCAGCTGCTTGGGTGAGCCCAGATTTGTCCAGCAGCCTGCTGTGAATGCTCCCACCCTACTAGCCTCAACAGTTCAGTCCCCTCCGCACCCCCCTCCCAAGAGAAAATGTGAATTCTGTTCACTCAGACTAATCCAGGGCACTTAGGAAAAGACACAAAACATAGCACAAATCTACCTCAGGCTTTTTAAACCTCTGTACCTAGCCTCAGTGTACTAGTCATAGTTCTCCACCACTTTGCATGTTATGCAGTTACTTATACCTATGCAACCTGTTAATGAAAAACTACCAGATCTGAATGGTAGTGTTTTACACTTACTTTGTGAAGGTGTAAATTACTACAGTATGTATAAGACAATGGACAGTTAGGCTCCAAGTATGGCATGAGAGGACTACCTTGAGAACAGTTTCACCTCATATTCAGGTTTGGTGTCTGAACAAGAGCACATAACCAGGAATGCCTTATGACATTGAATGCCATGGCATAGACATTCTTTATATGACAGATGTAGAGAGTCATCTAGAGGGATTTTTGCTGATGGAAATGCTGTTAGTGGTGTATCTATTGTTTGCCAATTCACAACCAAAGAAAAACCTGAAATGGAAATTTCTATTTATTTGTGTTCTTCAGTATTTTTAAAAATCCTAATAAGTTTATAGCTGCTTTTTCTGGCACCAATTGCTTTTAGAAACATACCTTTACCCTATTTCTGTATTATTTTATAATATTCTTAAAAGTTGCTAAACCAGTTAGTGAAGTTGCTAAAATGCAGTTTGCACCTCAAATGTTGCAACATGATTCAGAGATGCCTTCATCTTGAATACAGAAGTTTGTTCTTCAGACACTGTAGACCGAATCCTGTTTTACTCGTATGTGCTACTTAGGCTTCTAAACTTGGGCATATTTACCTCTTACAAAGATTTTCAGGGACATGACTAAACTTGTCTATCTGAATGTCCTCAGAATGTATCTGTATCAGGTTCAGAGTTATTGCTTAGCTCACACCAGCTTCCAACATTATATAGTCCTTTATTTTCAGGGCATACCTGTCCCACAGGTGTCCTCCTACATCAGTCAGTCCTCAATAACATACATAACACTAACATAAACATGGTCCATAGAGGGTTAACTGACAGGTCTGAGTCCTCTTCAACCCCTGAGAAGGTGCTGTCAGCTTGGTACTGCTCTTTCCTTGCAGCAGTCTTTCCTTTCAAGCTGTCTGTGATTCAGCTTTTTGCCATGGTTCTGCTACTTCCAGTCTCACAGCACCTGGGACTGTTCCCAGACTCTGAGAATCCCTGGCCCCTGGCCAAGACATTCTCACTCTCTCCCCTTCTGCCCATCTTTCTTTCACTGGCTTCCCCTCCCTAAACTGACTTCCTTTTACAGGACAGTGACTAGATTCATGAGCACCACATGCTCGTGAAAAGGCTTTGAGATGCCGCAAAATGCATGTGGAGTTCATGATTTCATTCATCAGGCTGCATATTTGCAGCACAGCAGCAAAATTAGATATCAGGATTTCCCACTAGCTAAAAAAACCCTGGCAGGAAAAAGCAGGATGGTGCACATGGCTGCACCATGCACCACCAGAAACCAGAACCTGGTGGACCAGAGCCACATTTTGGCTACCAGCTAGGCTCTGCATGCCTGATTTGCTGCCAGTGCTGCCCCAGGAGGTCCTCAGGTAAGGCTGTTGGGGCCGGCATCCTCTCCTACCCAACGCAGGGCAATTTGCTGTGTGCCAAAGCATGCATGCAATGGCATGCTTGGGGACAACTAGCAAACTGCATGTTCCTGCTAATGGGTTCATGGCCTCTAAGTAAGGTTAGGGCTTTGTCTACCTTGCAATCACTGCAGGGACTTCAATATTGTGGGAAAAAAAACCCAGCCAAACCTGGTTAGCCAAGAATGCAGAGAAACCAATTTACGCAACTTCTCTGGTGGGTTTTGCAGTCTACTCTGACCGTTATGCTGCTGCAGCTAGATTACTACTTGTACGCAAGCTATCTAGTTTAGAGCTAGCTTGGGTATTTCTAAACTACGCTGCAGTCACTTTTATGACTGCAGTGCAGACATACTTTAAGAGTAGAGCACAGTAGTGCTATCTGCCAGCAGAATTTAAATGAAAATATACTTCAGACTTAATAACAGCTCAGAAAAATACTTTGAAAATAGAAGAAAAAAAGTTAAAGTGTAGAATCTCATTATTTCCAGTTAAATGTTCATCCTCACTGGGAGCATCTATGTGAGACACTACTGCGCAGTGGTAACTGCGCATTTATTTAGTACTTCTGTAAGCAAGGACTAAATAAATGCACAGCAACTGAAGTAGCACCAGCTAACACTTTTTAAGTGATGGTACTTTATAATAGCCTAATATTACTGCACTGTAGCTTCTCAGCATGGTTTTTGCCAGGCAACACTACTGCACAGTATTATCAGGCTATTGCGCAGTCAGTGTCTTGGGTAAATGAGCCCATTAGTAAGTTCCGTGAGTAAGAAATTCTGAAATCCAAAAGGTTGTGTATATATTGAACAAAACAGTGGCCACTGTTTTCAAAGGAGACTGATTATTTTTGGCAGCTCAATTTTGGGATCTCAACCTTGAAATAGCTTAACGGTCTTTGAGAAGAAAGTGCTTATCACTTATCTGCTGAAAAACAGATTCTTCAGCCAGGTGTAACAAGCTGCAAGGAACCTGCAGTTTGGAACAAGAGTTGCAGGAGGAATGATTTGGAAGGTGACACAAATAAACTTCCAGGGATCCCCATGTACTTGGGGGTAGTGTGCAGCAGCACTGACCACAATGCACAGCCTAGCTAGAAGCAATAGCACTTAAAGATCCGGTTGCTACAGGTCTTTTTATATTGCATAGAGCTGTGTGCATGAAACATCAGCTACCCCAAAGTACTAGTAACTTTTGAAAACATTGACCTTTTCATTTATTTCTAGAAAAAGAGAGTGCACACTTAACAATTCCTGATCCTCTAGATTAGAGCTTTATACATGTGCAATTCTCATGTCCTTCTTTGTCTTTCCCACCACATCCTTACAACTCTAATGGACAGAAAGGGCACAATTCTATTTGATTTTACCCTCCCAAATGGCAGTCACTTAATAATGGCCATTTTGGGAACATACTCATAACCAGGGATCCTGGATTTCTCCGATAAAACAAAATCCCCAGTTTTCGGATAAAAAAAATGTAACCCAAATCCACATTTTTCCATGCTTAAAATGACAGAACACTAGAGAGATAGCTAGATAGTGGTGTTTCATTTTAATCATGGAAAAATGTGGATTTGGGGTTACTTTTTTAAATCCAAAATTGGGTTGTGTTTTATCAGAGAAAACCAGGATCCCTGCTCATAACAATCCTACTTCATAACTTCCTATTTATGTGTGGATATGTAAGTGTCTACATGGCTACCAAACACACATGCATAGTAGTCATGATGCTGGGGAGGCAGGTGTATGTCTATGAAGATATGCTGGGTGAACATAAGTCAAGAAATTCTACTGAGAAACCTTCCTAACTAGTGGATTATACACATATTAACTCAAGGAAGGGGCTCCATTCACATATTAACTCATTAGTTGAGTGATTAGGGTTCTCACCTAGAAATTAGGAAACTCAAGATCTAGGCCTGTCTCACCCAAAAAGGTTCATATCTACAAATTTATGACTTCTCAGCATAGCGTCTTGACTACAGCCACTCTTCTCCACAGCCTTCCTCCCTAAGCATTTTGCAGTCAGGGGAGCCCGTCACCCCATTTTGACCAGTTTGCATCCTACATCAGGAGTACTTTGTGGAAGGCCAGGAACCTCCTGTTGTATAGACAGGATGTAGAGGTAGTGGGCTGTGTGAAAATGGTGCTGAGCAAACTCTGGACCTACCACCAGAAATCGGTAGCAGAGGACAGAGAAGACGCAGCTAATGTCACCTGGCACAGAGACATGTGGAATAGAATCATCCAAGCATCCCCAAGTGGAGAGGGGGGTGAAGGCAGCGAAGAAGAGGAAGGGTCAAGTGGAACAGATGACAGCGACAGCAGCAGCAGGTCCTCCAGCGGGAGCTGGAGCAACAGTGATGGAGAGGACACTTAAACTGAGTATGTGACCCTGCAAGCGGGGCAGGGGTGAAAAGGAAGTGTGGCCTGGGCTGAGAGAACCGAATGGACTTAGCTGTTTTGTGTGTTCTGCACATGATGCGGATATTGTAATGGGTTCGGGTGGCCAGAAGGTCTTTGTACGTGTGCGCAGGTACACAGTGCGGTTTTTTAACAAGGAAGGTTTTTCCTTTTGTGGTGTGATATGAAGAGTGTAGATATGTATAACCTTATATATAGATATATATTTTTACAAAAAAATAAAAAATTGCAGTCCCCTCCTGAAGCTGAGCTATTAGACTTAGCGAGATAAGAGAAGTGGGAAAATCACCGACCAACTGGGAGAGAAGCTCTAGACTACAGCCCATGGATTGCTCCTTCCCAAGCACTCATTAAGCCCCATACTTTCTAGGTTGTTCTTTTCCAGGCCCCATGTATCTCTCTCTTAGCTACCCAAGGGCTCAGCTTCAAAAGGAGGGAAGGAGAGGGGAACTCAAAATGAAATAGCTATTTTGTATAGCTATTTTAAAATTGAACCTAATTCACCTCTGACATCTCAATCCTGAAAACATCCTATGCTTTTATTCAAAATAGCTGCATTAGATAGTAAAAACAAACATATGCAGAAGTGTCTGCAAGAATTGCGCCTAACTCTGCAATACTTAGACCTGGAGTTACTAGAAAAAGTACTGCCTATTTATTAATTATTTCTGCTTCCCCTGCTTCTTTCTGCTCTGTGAGTTTTTATTGAACTTTGCTTTAATGAGTACTAACTGGGCCAAATCAGTGGTGCCTTTTGCCTATGCACCTATTGTTTTGTAATAGTAGATTTAGCAGTCTTCATTTCATAATTCTATTGTCCAATAATCTTTAATAGCTGAATACTTAATAGCTGAATCAATTCCCCAATTATGGCATTTTGTTGCATTTTTTTACTGTTAACCTAAATTCAATGTATCAAGCAAATTAGTTAGGAAAACATAAAATACAGTGTTTATAATAAAAATTCTGTCAGTCCATTAAATATAGGGGTGCTGTTGAGCATTCTGCAATACATACAGCTAAGGTTTATATATCTTTTAATGCTTCTTAGTAATCATTTTCACAGTGCCAATCTGCATTACAGAGGGAAATAAATCTATTGAATCTGAAAAGTGTTAGTTTCCACTTCAGTAGAGAATGTGAAATCTAGACTTCAAGAGAAGCAAATTAAACCAGAAAACAAAATTCATTTGTAAAATAACTGGCTTACTCTCCATACTATTATTATGCTATTTGATTCTAGAGATAAGTCCAAAACAATATTAGTGAATGTTAAAAATCACTGCTTTGTAGAGTTGGAGGAAATATAGGATCCCACACATGGTTGCTACATTAGTACATAGTTGGTGTATGTGAACACAGTCTAGAACAGGTGCATCTACACGTGCCATTTGGAGGCAGCAGTAAACTGTAGAACTTATTGCTCCACAGCTTATTGCTCCTGGGAAGCTCCCGGGCATATATCTGCACATGTGCCTGGAATGCACCACATTGAGATGGGTTGCAGCAGCTCTGGCTGGCAGAGAGTCCGGGAGGTCAGCTAGCCTGTGGGAAGCCTCAACACTGAAGCATCTTCATGCCCCAGCCAACTGATTAGCATCTACATGTGTGCTGCTGGACGTGAAAAAATCTCTGCAGCATGATACTACTTGTATTTACAAGTACTTCCTTGCTGAAGAGTTCATTAGTTTTGTGCACCCTAGCTGTAAATGTGTAAATGCAGAGACATTTATTGTGCAGTTAATTAGTCAATTTCACAGTAAACATCTTATGTAGACATGCCCACAATTAATCATGAAAACTACATTAGCCTGGAGTATAGGGAGTTTAAGAAGTTCCACTACCATGGTATGGTAGGAAGAGAAGTAAGACCCTATGCATGATAACCACATCAACATGGGTCCTTCTCAACCTGGAAGGACATGGGCAGTGAGGTTTCGCAGGGCTCGGTCCTCAGGCCCACGCTGTTCAACATCATCAGTGACTTGGATGAGGGGGTAAAAAGCACCCTGTTCAAATTTGCTGATGACACTAAGATGTGGGGAGATGTGGGCACACTAAAAGGAAGCAACAGGCTACAATCTGACCTAGACAGGTTACAAGGGTGGGCGGATGAGAATAGGATGGGTTTCAACACAGACAAGTGCAAGGTGGTGCACCTGGGGAGGAACAACCGGCACCATACCTACAGGTTGGGGAACTCCCCTCTTGTCAGCACGGAGGCGGAAAAGGATCTTGGAGTCATCATTGACTCCAAGATGAACATGGGTCGGCAGTGTGGGGAGGCAGTTAGGAAGGCCAACTGTACCTTGTCATGCATCCACAGATGCATTTCAGGCAGGTCCAAAGAGGTGATCCTCCCCCTCTATGCGGCACTGGTCAGGCCGCAGTTGGAGTAATGCGTCCAGTTCTGGGCGCCGCACTTCAAGAGGGATGTGGACAGCATGGAGAGGGTCCAGAGGAGGGCCACTCGCATGATCAGGGGACAGCAGGGCAGGCCCTATGAGGAGAGGCTACGGGACCTGAACCTGTTCAGCCTCCACAAGAGAAGGCTGAGGGGGGATCTTGTGGCCTGTTATAAACTAGTCAGGGGGGATCAGCAGGCATTGGGGGAGTCACTGTTCCCCCGAGCACCGCCAGGAGTGACCAGGAATAACGGTCACAAGCTGGCAGAGGGTAGGTTTAGGTTAGACATCAGGAGGCGCTATTTCACGGTCAGGGCGGCTAGGGTCTGGAACCAACTTCCAAGAGAGGTGGTGCAGGCTCCTACCCTGGGGGTTTTTAAGAGGAGGTTAGATGAACACCTTGCTGGGGTCGTTTGACCCCAGTACTCTTTCCTGCCATGGCAGGGGGTCGGACTAGATGATCTGCTCAGGTCTCTTCCGACCCTAGAAACTATGAAACTATGAAACTATGAAACACAGAGCTGTAAGGTGGCAAGACATTCTTGGACAATGTTTTTGATCATCCAAAACTTCTAAAGTATTAAGAATCTGAGATTCAAGTCAGATAAGAACAGTCTTCAGCAAGTTTTCTAAGAATCTCAGATCCAAAAGCCATTTTAAGATTAGAATTTGAAGCTTAACTTAAAAGACATTCACTGAGAAAGGCAGAGCCAGTAAAGACCTAGACTGTGATATTTACCATTAGCCCTCATTTTAGTAAGCAGGAATGAGAGGAAGAGTCCTAATAATACAAAGAAGGATTACTTTCTGAGACAGTCCCAGATTAACTGGGCACATCTACACATGCGCAGTTACTTTGCAATAACCTAAGTTACTGCACAGTAACCTAAAAATTACTATGCAACATGGGCAGCATCTACGTGTGCATACCTGTACTGAGCCGTGACTATAGTGATGTATGTCAACTTGGGTGTAAATTTGATACCTGCTTGATACAGGTATCAAATTTATACCTGATTAGTTACTGTACAGTAAGGCACATGTAGACACCTTACTGCGCAGTAATCCTGGATGTGTAAAGCAATGTAAGGTAATTAATGTCACATTAGTTGCCTTAACACTATGTGGACTGAGTGGGCAAGAGCCGAGCTGACAGAGCAATGTGCTGTCCCTGGGTGTCATGGCATGTGCTCTAGAAGACACTGGAGCTGCAGTTCTGGCAGCAGGGAGAGCCCACCTCCCCTCCGTGACTCCTTGCAGGGGAAGGGGACAGCGCAGCATGGGGAGGGCTGGAGATGTGTTGTCTGTCTGCAGTGTCCAGCACTGCTTTCTCTGCCCCAGAGTGAGCCACGCTGCTCAGCTCAGCCCAGGCAAGGTTGGGGATGTGTCTGTTCCAAGCTCCCAGTGCCAGTTTCCCTGCAACACCTACCTCCATCCCAGGCATGTGTAAGGTTTTCCTGACACCAAGACACTGCTGGTGAGAGGAGCTGAGCACAGAGTGAGAGGGAGCTTAGCCATGTAGAGCCCCCAGCAGCACACACTGCTTCTCTCACAGGCAGTGTTCTGGTGGCAGGAAAGCCCAGTGCATGCCTAGGATGGAAGTAGGTGTTCCAGGGAAACCAGCACTAGGAGGTGGGAGCAGATGCAGCCCCCAATCCTGCCGGGGCTGAGCCGAGCAGAGCAGCTCACTTCATGGGGTAGAGAAAGCAGTGCCAGGTGCTGCAGACAGACAACACAGCCTCAGACCCTGCCCATGCTGTGCTACCCCATTCCCCTTCAGGGAGTCATGGAGGGGACCTTTCCCTACTGCTGGAACCATGACTAGCATCTGCAGAAGCAAGCACTGCAGCAACTGGCAACAGTACGCTACCCTGCAGGCTCAGATCCAGCCTGCTCTCCTTGGACAGGAGGTAGGAACACAGTGAGAAGGTTGGAGCTGGGATCATGGTTGTCCAGGATGCTGACAAGAGTAGGCTGATGAGGTTTCCCAGCAAGCCTCATTATGATGTCATAAGGTATTAATGGCTGCACATGTAGACGCCAGCCTAAAAACCATTTACTGAGCAGTAAATTACTGTGCCATAAATGCACGTGTAGATATGCCCACTGATAAGGAATATTAGCAGTTGTAAATTGGTACCAATAAAGGACATGCTTCACTGGATATTTGATATATCTGTGTACATACTGAGATATTTATCCCATGCTAGTTCAGCACTACCATCCTTCCATATCTCCAATTTTGCCTTGTCCTTCCTTGTTTTCTCTGGAAGTTGTAACACTATGGCCAATGCCAGTGATTTCCAGTCCTTGCAAGGTGGAAGTACAATGACCAAAATTTTACAGGGTGTATGAAAGAGAGTCTTTTCTCACATACAGACTTTGTACATACTACCTCATAAGTGAAACCACCATCTCTAAAAGTAGAAAGTGATTTATT